AATTAAATTTGCTGCTCCAAAGGGAACCAGTGTAAGAGCATCAAAATCAGACCCTTGTGTTGAGCCCTGTGCTGTTTAGTATCAAGGCACACAGTGCAGTTTTTTCTAATGCATGGAAGCCTTTGAATCAGGTACTTTAGCAAACCAATGAGTAGCAAGTTACAATTGTTTAAAAGGCAAATAACCCTTTGAACAATACCAGAGTGAGATAAAATTTAATTCTAATCAGTAGATATGATGTCCTTAGTATTTCAGCTAAAAAATTTTAGCTAAGGATTCAAAGTATTCTCTGTTTTCAATGTTAGCAAGTTAACGTGGGTGTAAGTTGGATAAAGAAACCACAATAAAGCAACTTTCTCATGACTACTCTTGTGTTTCCTTTTGATTTCTTTCAAAAACCTTTTTTCCAAAATTTGAGTTACCAAACTTGATGTGACACTCATCTTTGAGAGCAGCTTATCTGCCAGGGTTTACAATAACTGTCTTATTCCTATCAATTTCTAAAATTAAATGATTATACTCTTTGACTAAAGCAGCCTCAGTGCTATAAAATTTCTTATAAGCTGGTGGAAAAATCTCACCAAGACAAGTCATTGCATTGAATTCAATCAAACGTGAAGCTACCACTTTTTCAGTAAGTTAAGACATATGCATGAATTCGGAGATGGGACGGAAGTTAACACAAGCCTCAAAGGTAGGTTTCACTGGTTTGTAAGATGTGCTAATTTGAGGCTGTGCCAAGGCATTAGAAGGTATAACAATTAAAAAGAATACAGCCTTTCATTGGGATCATCAGGGGAGGGGATATTATGTGACGCTAAACCCAAAGGATTTACCGAGTGAGTTTCTGTCCCATACAAAAAAACTACATGGACATTCACGCCTGAAAGAGCTCTATAACAACGACAACAACACCACGTTTCCTGAGGTACCCAGATTTAAATATTCAAATTTGCAGCAATATTCCTTTGCAAAATACCGGAATAATTCCCCCATTTAAAGCCTTATAAGCCAATAATATTGAATATTACACAGATGAAATAAATGGAAAAAAATGTAGTTTTTTTTAAAGATTTCTTTACTTACCTCTTACTAACAAATTGACATCTAGCATGCACTTGAGAAACATGGTCTTCATCTCTATGTTTTGCGACTTTTTCTTCCTTCCATCTTATATCTAAATATCACTAAGCGAAGAAAAGTTGCTGAGAAGCTGAGTGGCCCTTTATTTCCGGGCCTTGTGCCAAAGTAAGCTGTCATTTCCCTGCAGTTCTCACTATATATCCCGCCATGTTCCGCCATGTTGGATTGAAGCAGTCTTTCGCCCAGCTCTCCTCCCTAGCAAGGAAACGCGCACGTTTAATAAACGACAATACGCGAAAACGCATGAAATTGCAGATACTGCGCGGAAACACGTAAAGTTTTTCGGAATCCTTTCATGTAGGGAGAATTTCCATTATTTTCATTACATCCTTTAACATATAAATACCTACTGTGGACAGGCAAGGAATAAGATCCAACGTTGGCTAAGTTTGCAAGTCAGAAATATTCGCAGTTTTTGTCTTTCAGACTTCAGAGGTGAAAAGCGTTTATTTTTTCGATTAAATGTGATTTTGTCATATTACATCCATTTTGAAATCACCAATGATTTTTGTAATCTAATCGGCTCTCATTGATGCGACTTATTCACGAATCGCTCCATTTTTGCTCTAAATCGGATCTTTTTATCAGCTAATAAGGAAGCTTTACTAAATTACAACCAATAGCTTATTTAAAGAAACAAATCAATTTGCAAAGAAAATGAACAAAAACTTCTCCAACTTTCTACAAACCAGCTTACGACTGGATCAACAAAACATTTGTACAGACTAAAACTCCTGTATCTGAGCGACTGAACTTTGAGATTTCAAAATGGATGTTATAAAGTGGTAACTGAACTTCACGTCGTGCGATTTTGTTCTAAAATCATGCATGCTTGTGATTTCAAATCCCGCATTTGGTTTCAGACCAAACTGCACTCCACTCAGTTCCATTACCATAGTAAATCTTGATTGTAACGTCCGAGTATCTCATTATGATAGGAAATCATGTGTTCGTTTATGGAACTCATTCTTTCAAAACCTGCTTCATTGCTCGACTGCCTGCTCACCATTGCTGTTGTGATTTGCTTTGATTTACTTTGTTTTCCTCGTATACCCGACATCAAGTGTCTTGGCTGTAAATCAATCACTGATCGGTAGATTTTCTCGACTACTTTCCGACCAAATTTTGTAAAAATTAGATGGAACGAAATCGTACAAAACCTAAGCGTTTTACCAACATCTTGATTGATACTGAGTAAAATAATAATACTTTAATTGCTGAATCCTTCAACGCTTGGGGTGAAATAAAATTGTTTTAAGTCAGCGTTCGTTATAACCCTCTTAATATATATACACCTTTGAAAAAAACGATCGTTTTTAAACGAAGACTGTTATAAATTTTGACGTACCTCACAAACTGTATTTTTATCCTGTCACTGATTTCAAGTCATCGCCGAGCAAACCTTGTTGCGGAGAAGTGATCACCGATATCTTAAAAGTTCCGCTATATCAATTTTAGTAAACTGCGCTTTGACGGTGCTTTTTAATCATTTCTGAAAGCTTCGAAAATAATAGAAAAAAGTAGTGAGTTGAGTTGATTTAAATTCTTACATTGTTCACCTTCTCTGGCAATTTAGTAGGCAATGTGCTTCAATTCATAGAGTAGCCCAACCATAAAGTTTGTACATTGAAAGATAGGTTTCTTTTTTTTTATTATTATTACAAGCAAACACCTCCAAACAGTAGACAACAATAAAACACCAATTTTTTTTCAATTGCTTCCAGTCTGAAGCATGTGATCTACTTATTCATGTGTAAGAAGCAGAGCGGCCCTTGGCTCCCAAATCAATTGAGGAGCTTTATTAATTTTTTTTGTCATGTCAATCTTTCTCGCCCTCTTGGATTGCAGAAAGACGAAGAGGGAGGGGAAAGATGGAGGTTGGGTGGGTAGATTACGACCGAAACGAAAAAAAAAAAAAAAGAAAAAAAAAAACAGATTAAAGGAGGAGAAAAAAGAAAAAAACCTTACAATATATGAAACAGATGAAAACAAAAACCAACATGTCGCTAATGGATAATTTACATCCTGCTGACATTTTTATTAATTACTCTAACTCAATAATTGTTTTTCTCATTTTCCGACTGGTTAGTATGCAACTGAACCGAACCGTAACAGGAAGGTCACAGGGTAAACTTTTGTTGAGGTAATAATTCCAAATCAAGGCTTTGTTCTCTGAAAATTTAAGCGAGTCCCTGATATCAGGGTTTGTCATAATCCAAGAGATTCAGAGGAGCTAGAACCTCGAGGTGAGTAAAATTGCCTAAAAGTTTTATGTTTAAGGTAATTAGCCTTCTGTGGGTATCACCATTTTCAAAGTTCATAGTTTTCTTATTTTTGGCATTTGGACATTTACTACACAAAAGTTTACTTGCTAGTTTTATGTTGGAGTCTTCAAAAAAGAAAAAAAATGTAAAAAATGAAAAATACGTATATGTTATTCGCCAGCCGGGAGGTCCGTATCGGGAAAAACTGTGCCCAGGGTCTTGAGTGCCGCCCGAAGCCGTAAGCTAATATTTTTATTTTTTCTAAAACTTTACGACATTCCTGCCAAAAGAACACGAATAACTTAGGGCTCTAATCAGGGCACGATCCTCCTTTAACTGAACGATTTTTGAGTGTAAATGGTGGTTAAAACAGAGGTGACGCAAACTTTAATTCTTTTTTCAAAACCATTTAATGATCTTACGGAAAGTATTATTCACTTCCATTGATGATTAGTGTAAGAATAATACCTCTGTTAATTGCAAGGAAAGTAATTGTAAGTAAAATCAAATGTATGTTTTAAAATTGTGAGAGTTTGCTGTTTGTTTGCTGTAATGGCGCGTGTAAGTCCGGTCTTTTTCCACTACATAACTAAATTCAAATGGGACATTAGACCCAAGAGGAATTTAAAGGGGCTTTTTCTCGTTAAATTAATTCGATTTTTGTTGTGCAATTTACTTTACAGATAGCCAGACGTGTAAAGACTTATTGCAAGCGCATTTGTACGTAGGATTGAAAACTTCGCTGCAAATCACAGTTTTAACTTTCAACCCATTTAATGACACATTTGCTACAAAAATTCATCTCGAAAACAATTTTCTAGTGGCAACAAAAGCAATTTGAGAGTGAGAAATGAGACGATTAATAAGTTATTAATCGGCTTGATTTGCCTAAAAATACTGCCCAGCCGGCAAAACAAAGTTTACTTTTGGAAAATAGCAACGAAGCTAGGAATGTTTTCGGTGACTCACGAAAGAGTTACCGAGCCCGAAGTTAGAGACAGGAAAATCCGGACCGCACTAAAAGCCAATCACATTACGGGATTCGATACTCTGCCCTCTAAGAAAAAAAAAATAAAATCATATCTTTTCAAACTTTTTTGCATCTTTTTTATCGTTTGTAGTAAAACTTAAACATAGGTCACGAGCTTATGGTTACTTCATAAAGTGGAGTTTACATTATTTTTCATCAAACTAGAATTGCTTTTAATATTAAAACTTAAGGTTACTTTTTATAGAATCAAAAGGCAAAAAACAACAAGCAAATGATTTAAGAGCACGTGGTAGTCGTAGTTTAACTAGAAGATTACTTGACCTAACATCCTCCAATGTTGTTCAAAATCAAAAGAACAATCTTATAATTGCCTCAATAAACATTCACATCTAAAAATCTAAAATGTCCGAAGTAAAAATGTCAAAGGAAAAAACCAGCCTCATTCGTGGCATAAAACGTTTTACTTTGAATCTTACGCACCTTAAATACAGCTTGTTTAAACATTTGGGTTCCTTTTAGAGACTGCACTTCATAACAGTTGTTTTGTAATAATTTTTCCTGTAGATTGTCCTTCATACCTGAGGCGACATCAGAAAAGAAGAATGATGCATTTCCCTTTGGTGCTCCTCGTTTGTGTGTCATCCGCATTTAAATTAACATGTGAGGCTACCGACGCTGAGAATTCTGCGCTGGGAAGAGTGATAGATCTTCGAAAGGTCAACTTACTGGCCGACTTTCAGGAAGAAGAGAACAGAATCTTTGAGGAGCTTCCCCCGAAATGTCTCGTAAAAAAAACTTTGAAGTCTTCGAGCAGCCACTTCGAATATTATGCAAATACCAAGGAATTTTATAAATCACTCGCCACCCAGTCAAGCTTGAGCGCCTCTCTGCAGTCCGCTTACTCGTTGGGTGTTACGGTATCAGTAGCAACAAAGAGCAAAAGCTCACAGCAAAGTGAAGTGAGTGGCATGTCTTTAATCAAGCAGGCGTTAACAGAAAAGATCCACGTCGATAAAGAATGTCTACTGAGTGACGACATCTCAACCTTGAAGGGAACATTTCTAAATGACCTCGAGGACTTGCCTGTAAACGTCGAAAATCCCTGGGACTCAAAATCCTGGGTGAAGTATCGTACTTTTCTGAAAAAATATGGCTCTCACGCAATAACTTCTGTGAAGCGCGGATCAAAATTCCAGCAAATGACATTCGCAGAGAGCTCTAAGGCTTATACTGAAAGAGATTTCCAAGTAAAAGCTTGCGTTTCGGTTGCAGGACCTACTAAGGTCGGAAAGGTTGGCGTCTCTGCATGTTCAAACGTGAGCCAAAGTGAGATATCCAAAGCGAGCAGGATGAGCACAAGCGAGAAACGCTTTGTCAAAGGTGGAAAAAGGGAAACAAATAGCAAGCTGGCAAACGGGGCGACGTCGGTTGAATTGATTGACCAACTCATGGATGAAGCAGATGAATTTCCAGCGTCTGTTCAGCACACTTTCCTGGCGATCTGGACCATCCTACAGAGTCGCTTTAAACAGGGATCTCCTACTAATATCAAAGCCACAAACCTGGAGTACTACTACCTTGGGTTCTTGAATTATGGTTGTCCATACATAAGTAGCTCTGGACTTGCCATACAAAAATTCGACCATACCAGTGGCTCCAGTGAGAAGGATCCAGAATTCGAATGTACCCTGGCAAAAGAGGGCTGCCACAGTGCCAACGACTGTCACTACAAACCCATTTGGTGCTCCTGTCGTGGTCCAACATGTGTCCATTACAAGTCAATGAAACAAGATACAGGTGACACTAAAGAAACCGCATACGCAAACACATTTGACGATTGGGGATGGCATGGATGCGACTGGAAATTTTGGGGGTCTAGCTGCACTTGCAAGAATGAAAATCTTGATCAGCGGAAAACTGTGTGGTTCTTGCCAAACAGAGATGCTGCTACACAAAAGGCACAAACCCAGGGCGCACACAAAAAAGGCAAAAGATTAAGGTCGCCAAAGTACACCGATAGGAAAGGAAAATGAAAAAGAAAGAATATCCAAGTTTTGGAGAACTGAGATAACTTATGTAATAATTGAAATTCTTCTCACTTAAACTTGGTAAACAGTGCATGTGTCTCAATGTGTTTGAATAAAAAATCAAACGAGAACTTGTTACTATATTTGATCGCATCCATGTGCTGTCTGTGTACCACGGGCAGAAAAGCTATTTTCCGCAAAATACGAGAGAAGAACAGAGCCAGTGTATGGCGAAAGTACTATTAAAACGTAAGTAGTATCAATTAAGATTAACCAAACGAGCTACTGGAAAAAGCGTTACTACCGAAAACGAGCATCCATCAAGGTAGGACGAGTCATTGTACTAGACACGCTCAAAAGCCTATAAAGGGGGTAAGTTTCTGAAGAAACTGTAGTGCTGCGTCGGTGGAAGAGTATAACAGGGTAATTTAGTGTTTTAAAATGAGTTGATAACGTAAATTGACCACCTTTGAGAGCTTTAAAATTTACGCTTCGAGCGTTAGCCTTTCGTCAGAGCGAATCACTGTGACGAAGGGCCAACGCTCGAAACGTAAGCTTTAAGACTCTAAACAGTGGCCAATTTACGCTATCAACTCAGTTGACAATACTTAATTACCCTATATACGCTATACTATACTTATACTCTAAAGCTGGTCAGTATCTTCCCAAGTGAATGGGGTGGAGGAACAATATCACTGCAAACTGTTCTTCTAATAATGAATGTACCACTGTTGGAATAAAACGAAGTCAACGATACAGCGTGAGTTCATGGAACTGTTTAAACACAATGTAAAATTCTCGAATATCATGAAAAATTATCTCCAAACCCTCTCCATATCAAGGCGTCGGTCTAAATTTGAGAGGCAGTTGTCACGTCACATAAAATCACGCTTTCCATTACTCACATTATTCAGCCTCCCTACGCAAAATTCGATCCTGGTCTTTGCTATCCTTCACACACAGTTAAAATGTACTTTTCTCAAAGGAGATTCCAGCTAGTAAAATTTACACGCGCTTTATTTGATCTGCTTCACTGGTGGCGATTCTGTTAAACGGTTAATTATTCAAGCGATTAAACTAAAACATAAATTTACAAACAAAGCTTTAAAATACAGCACAGCAAGAGAGAGTGAGAAAAATAAACTTATCAAATAACAGGTGCATTTGTTGTTGGGTTACTTTAGCTGCACTGGATGCGACTTCAACTGTGATTTACGAATGAACTTGTGCTTTCACGAGTGAAACAAAACTAGCTAGAAAAACTACTACAAACGTTCAGTTTTTTACTAATACAAGTACATCATGCGAAATTGGAAAATTATAACAACATAAAGGAAAACAACAGAGAACGCAGAGGAATTTGCTAACAAAGTGGTGTTTGGATCTTACACACAAATTACACCCGTAGTGTTACACACTTCATGTTGTGAAATAAAACTAAACTACATAGAAATGTTTTCCGAAAAGCACTATTTCCGTTCATCTGAGACATGGACAAATCAGTGGAGGAAATTTCAATTGAATAATGTCTAAGTCTTGGGTAAAAGTCGCAGTTTTTGCGTCACCTTTATCTAGGGTTTGGAAAGATTAAACTTAAACATAATTTTACAATTTTTGTCAGGGAAGCCTAATGAAAATTAATGCTCGAAGGTAGCCCTCAGACCGGCTAGTATCTCATTCAGGGTGGGGGGGGGGGGAGAGTGGGTAGTAACACTCCTTTTCACTTAATGCTATGGGAATGGGGATACCCTCTGGCTGGATGGGCCACTCAACTCGAGTTACAAAACTCGATTGGCGTAAAGTGAAGTGCCAGTGGTTGCTTCCGACGATGGGAGAGATCTTCGCACTTCAAGCTGGGCAGCCCCCAGCCAGTAAGGTGCTGTCCCGCCATGGTCTGCCTTCCTCTTTGGGTGTATGAGGATTAGGATATACTGACAAGCAGACCGTAACTTCCTTACCAGGCAAAAAAACTTATTTATCACAAAGGACAATCAACAAGAAGAGACCAGCTCTTAAACTGGGATGTTCGAACGTCTGCACCATAACAACTGGACTTGATGACCTCCAGACAGTTGCCATCAACGACGAGCTACTGAGGCTGAAGGCATAGTCATAGCCGCTCTATTATAGACCACGGGGTAGGGTTCGCAGTCAGGAGAACCTTGCTGAAGATGGTTGAACCAGGCGACAAAGGATCAGAATGCCTGCTGCGTCTCCGCCTCTATACTTTTGCAGGATTAGTAACACTTATCAGCGCCCATGCCCCAACCTTGACCTCCACACCTGAGGCAAGAGACGAGTTCTACACCAACCTGAAGGAAGCCATCAAAAACATCTACAACAGCGATCGCCTTGTCCTCCTTGGTGACCTTAACGCCAGAGTAAGTGCAGACCACGACTCTTGGTCTTCCTGCTTGGGTTCCTTTGGCAAGATAAACGAGAACGGGCAGCACCTGTTAGAGCTTTGCTCTTATCATGGCCTCTGTGTGACCAATCCCTATTTCCAGATGAAGCCACAACACAGTGTCATGGCGCCACCCTTGATCCAAGCACTGGCACCTGCTCGACATGGTCATTGTTAGACGTGCAAGCCTCAACCACGTGCTTCTCACTCGCTCATACCACAGCCCTGATTGTGACTCCAACCGTTGACAAGTATGCTGCAAGATCAAACTGCTACCAAAGAAACTTCATCGCTCCAAACATATAGGGAAGCCACGCATTGATACGACTAAGATGCAACATCCAGAGAAGCTTGAGCCTGAAGAAGACCAACGTGCTGGGCCAAGACGTGAACACACCACCTTTCATCACCATCGACAACTACAAACTTGAAGTGGTACACCAGTTCACCTACCTTGGTTCCACCATCAGCGATAACTTGTCCTTAGATGCTGAAATCAACAATCCCATCGACAAGGTCGCAAGAACCCTGGAAAACTGATCACTCACGTCAAGGAGAACCCCAAGCTGACCATTCCAGCCTAGATAGTAGTGTATAACGCATGCATAGTCAGCACCCTCCTGTAAGGAAGTGAAGGCTGGACAACCTATGCCAAGCAAGAGCAGAAGGTGAACAGTTTCCACATGCAATATCTTTGCCGCATCCTTGGCACCAGCTGGAGGAAAAAAGTGCCCAATGCTCAGGTTCTTGCCCGTGCCAGCCTCCCCACAATATACACGCTGCTCAGACAAGGATATCTTCTATCGTCAAATTGCTTCGGGCAAAAGACCACAAGGTCGCCCCAGCTGAGATATAAATAAGTCTGCAAGCGCGACATCAAAGCTCTAGACATCAATACAGAGATCTGGGAGGACACTGTGGCAAACCTCAGCAGCCGGCGCTGCTTGCTTAAGAAACTGCTGAAGACAGGTGAGGAGAAGATCCTGAACTTGGCAGAAAGAGGAGAGCCAGGCGGAAGGCAAACAGACACGGAAACCCTCCCTCCTCCCCACGACGAACTACATCTACCCTTTGTGCAGCAAAGACTGCCATTCTCGCATTGGTCTTACTAGACACCGACAATGCTGTTCTAGTCGCAACACCACGATCTCCTACGGGACACTTTTAAGACAAAACAAAAGCGCTCAAAGTCCCAAAAAACCGATCCTTATTTGTTTTGGAAAATTTCTTGTGTTGAAATTGGCTCGTACATATGATGAGCTAAATAAATACCAAAAAAAAAAGGTTTTGTGTCACAGGCACTTTGATTTTGTTAATTGCCCCAAGCAAAATTATTTAAAATCGAAAACGTTTAAAAAGGCTAAACTTTGCCTAAAAATATTATAATTTCATTGACGGCGAATATTTTTTAGCAGGGCTGGTTTCATTGCTTTAGCGTCATGGTAGAAAATTAAAATTTCATTCAGCTGATTCGTGCGTTTTACAGTTGACACTAACTGAACACTGAAACGGCTCCCTACGAAGTGTGAAACAGCGTGCGCTTTTGACCTTCGTAATTAAAGGAAATTTTGCCCCATTTATCATAAACAAGTAATCGCACGTTTCCTCGTAAACTTAACGATAAACATCTTTAATTATCCTGCGCGACTCGGCCAATTTCTGCAACTTCTGAACACATAAGTGATATTTGTCCTAAATTTTTTTCCGAGTTCATTAGCTCGCAGCCACTTAGTTGATTATTATTTTCTTCTCTTTGTTATCTTCTTATTTATAAATAATTGGGCGTCTATTAACGATTTACCCAATACGGCACAAAAAGGAAAGATACTAAAACTACATGTCTAAACAAAGTTTGAGTGGTAATTGTAAACTGACAACAAAAGTTGAGCGGAGAAGCAGGCCGCGACGAGCGCTGACTATACCGTTAAAAGTCCACTCATTATCTGAGTAGCAAATTGTTACTTATAACATAATAACAAAGGAAAAGGTCTTGGTTACTTTATACAATTAAACTACCACAGGAATAGGTATACAATGCAATAGTTTAACAAGAATAACTGGTGAAGCATAAACATCGTAAATTTCTTTATACAGGCAAAACAGTATCAGCAGTACCTGTGAATATTATGTGATGAAAATTGGGTTGTAAAACGCCATAACATCGAATAGAAACTCGGCGATGTCATAGCTGCATCACAAAGTTCATCTAGAGATGAATTATTCCTGGGAAAAATTTTTTTGTTCAGTCAACTGAAGAACTAAAAGCCACTGATGAAAATAGAAATGCTCCAAAAAACATGTCTTACTGTTTTCTATTTGACATCGATGAACGGCACATTAGCGAGATTTGTACAGTTACGAACAGTTTTGTCGACAGCACTTAGCCTGGTTAAGTACCATGATTAGGCATCTAAAACCTGTATAAAGCGCGTAACACGAGCCAAAAACACCCTTTTTACACCGACCAGTTACGACTCGACTCGCGGACGAATGATGTGGCGAAATAGGCGACTAATCCAACGAGCAGACAGCATTTCAGAAATTAATCCAGCTGAAAAGAAAAGCATTGTAGTCTGCAATAATAAAAGTGAACGTAGAACAG